CGATTCCAAAAATGTTGACTCATTTGTTGGATTAATTGCAACCTTGGTAGGCGATTTGTATTTATTTCAGTTAATTTGATGGCAGGGGTTTGTGCCAGTGGAACACGGATAAGAACTGGGCGGGATTAAGGATTTGTAAATCGGAACGATCGTGAGGGGTTGAGAATGAACACAACTTTCTATTTGCGTTAATAGCGTATACGTCTCTTAAAAAGTTAGCTTAATCTCAGCAATCACGCGTTTGGTGTGAAATTTTACCGCATTGATGCTAGCTTCCCATAGCCGCCCGATATTAGGTGAATTAGGTGGAATGAAATGAATCACATCTGGCGATGCTCCAGTGGTGACGTCGCTTTAATGATTTCGGGGTGCAAGAAATTTCTGTAGTTCTTTTAGTTCTTTACTACAAAACTACTAAAATTTGTTCCGTTGTCACTATATATTCATCGGTTTTCCTCGCCGTGCATAAAATCTTCTAAAGGCTGCTAGAAATTGTTCTGTCAAGCCCGAGACTAGTTCTACATGTATGGCTTTAGTGCCCATACTATGTAAGATTTCATTGTCATAATTTACATCGACATTTAAAAATGCTATAATGGCTCCGAAACGATATGGTGGTAAATTTCCAATTAGTTGTGTTTGTTGCTGTTGAAATCTGAAACCCTTTAAACACTTGCGAATAACTTGCTTGATCAAGTTTCGGGCATTTATTTTCCAGTATGATTGTCGCATATAGTTCGGCAAAGTTTGAGTTTCTGAATGTAAAGTTCGAATATGTGCCTCTTCGATGATAAGACATGTGAGTGTATTACCGAATTATACATCACATAATGTGACGGTAGTATAATTCGCTGCTTCTGACCATACATCGGTTGAGAATTTTGGAATCGTCCACCAACTCTTAATGTCTTGGTAGTTTGTGTGATGTCCAGTTGTTCCAAAGGCTTTCGAATGTTCTCTATCATTTCTTCCAGGACTTTGGGATCATTTGAAGACCACTTTGCCAAATGAAGTCCTCCGTCCTTGAGTGCCATCAAATCAACTCGCAGTTTAATGACAGTTTAAACTTTCCGCACCCGTGAGAAGGTCGTCGTAGTCCTTGATAACAATTTTGCTGGCATATGGATATTTAATTTTGCTGTCGTCTGCAAGTTGATGTAACGTTTTTATTGCTGAAGCAGTGGTAAGTGACTTTTAACGATGTCGGCCTTTGATCATATCAACAAAATTTTATGAAAGTTTGTGTTCTCTGTGTGTACAAGTATCTGGCGACACATCTTCTTGATATCACCTGTTATAACGAATTGGTTCAGTCACAAAAATTTCGTTAAGAGAGGGAGCCGTATTGGATGCGGCAGTAGTATCGAATACAACTCAAATCTTTGTACTGAGGCTCTCCTTCCTGCCTACTGCGTGGTGAGGTAGATAATAGGCACTGTTGTCTTCAATTGTTTTACTCATGTGTACTAGATTCAAATATTCCTCCCTGAACCGACAGTACCCCTGATTCAATGTCTAATTTATTTCAAATTTCTCCTCTAATTGATAGAATTTTCGTAATGTCATGGTGTATGATTCTCCTAATGCTTCGTCAGGTGGTTTCTTAAAAGATTGTACTTTGTTCTGTCCGTTTTCTGCTCGGGTCGTATTTCACAAGTATTTTCTTCTCTTGACTGGTGTTTTTAGTGATAATTCTCCTCGATCTCATGTCGGCATGTCAATATCGGCTGGACTGTTAAACGTTGGTTCTGCTAACATCACTCTGGGTGGTACTTTCCAGATTTGACGATCAATTTTTGTAGTAGGTAACTCACCCGTAATATCGTACCAAGAACTCTAGTTGCTTGTTATATTTCGTTAACCTTTACGAAATGTTCAATGAAATCACTGAGTTTACCTCAGTGAGGTGATGACCAATTGGTATGTTTCTTTGTTGACTTCTACTCGCTCTATAAAATTGTTCGTATCAAAATTAGTCTGGCTCGCACTATCCAGGAGCGCTCTACAGTTCTGCCACTTACTTTCGAAAAATCGATGAAAGTATACGCGCTCCTCACTAAACTCGAGATCTCGTTAACGGTAGGTCCTAGAGGATCGCCAATAGTACAGAAATGACCAGTGTCGAAAAAAAAATCCTTTTTTGTCTGTCTGTTCTTCTTTGTCCGTTCTCCGTTCGCTGTTCCAGAGTTTTTCGATGATAACTTCCGAACGGTTCGAGCTACATGCTTCAAATTTTGCTCCTTTTCAGCCGTACACGGAGTGCATAAGACATGTAAAAATAGCTGCGTTCAAGCTTCGGCGCGAATCTTTTTTTTTCGATTTTGGACTGTCTTTTGGACGTTGTTATGAAACACCGAAATTTGTCCGAAATTTGAAGCTATCGACTTCAAATTTGGCAGGCATAAACTATTATTCTTGATCATTTTTGAAAAATGTACAGAGATGGCTGCATATTCAAAAAAACTTAAAAATGGGTCCTGTTAATATTGAAAATTGGATATAACTAAAATGCTGTATCTCAGATGTTAGTTTCTTTTACATGACGATATAGCCCATATAGGCAGCAAAAACTTTTGTATTTACGGTTTTCACCTGTTGTACAGGGTGTTCCCGATATTCCGTGCTATATAAGAAATGTGTTAAGTGTCCTAAATTTGCAGATATCGACTTCAAATTTAGAAGGGAAGTAAAAATCTATGCCCACATTCAAATAGTGGAAAGTATTTAAAAAAAAAAGTTTTATTTTATTTTATTTTGGCTTCCAGATAAACATGCATTTCTCCAAAAACCATTTACCGGATCGGCAAACATTTATTTCAGGCATTTTTTTCTATTATATACAGGGTTTTCCAAATATACACAAAAATATAAAAGATCCAGAAAATTGTTCTTTTTCATAGTAACAGCAAATCAAAAATCGTAAAAAATATGGCCAATTGGTTCAAACAGTGTCATAGGTCGAGAGCTACAATTTTTGCATTTACGGTTTTCATCTATCACACACGCTACTCTAGATATTTGAAAAAATCCATACGAAAATCACTAAACCTCGGGTACAGTCAAGACGCGATGACGTCGTTAATTATTACGGCGCACCGCATGCTTTCAGAAAAAACTTATTTTCGGGAAAACCATTTACTATTTTATTTTATATTTATAACCTCTATTTCCGGAATTTTTTACATTATGTACAGGGTGTGTCGATTATAGGTAAAAATATCTAAAATATCATGAAAATTGCGGATTTCGTTTTTAAATTATTAGCTGTTAATGAAAAACTATAAAACTTGTAAAAATTTGGTCCAAACAGTCAGCGAGTTTCAGGTTTCGTCCATCATACAGCGTGCGCGAGATACTTGGAATAATATCATTGGAAATCATTATTACTGGTACAATTTTTGATATTTATCAAAGTTTGTCGTGATAAAAAGCTACTTGGCGCTACGTGCTAGTGCCCCGCCCAGCGACGAGTTTTCGAAAGCAATGTTGTTTGTCCTTGACTTTGATCAAAACTGGTGCTAGCAAAACTTCGTTCCTGTGATATTCTGTGAGGCAAAACTTTGTTTTGGCTGTGCGTCTTTAACGTTCGCATTTTTTAATCCCACTTCTAAGGTTTTCCGGTTGCATTTGTTTTTTTTTGCAAATGAATCAAATTGTGATGCTTTTGTTACATTGTACATCTCACGCAAACCATTAAAACAACCTGTTTAAAGAACTCTAATGTTGCGTAACATCCGTAATCAAATTTCTTAGACCTGCCGATGATTCGTTGTTAACGTTCGGAACCTCAATAAGTGCTTTTACATGCGTATTAGCAATAGACTGTTTATTAAATTAAATTAAATCTCTCGAGTAGCAATGTCCACGCTTCGTCGTAATTTTCCAAACAGACCGTAATTGCATCGATGTCAACAAATGTAAAAACTTAGGAGTCTTTCTTGATAGTAAGCTGCTTGTTGATTCTTACTTGTCTTATTTACTACAGAAATTCTATGGTAAACTGAAAGTACTTTAAATGTATATTTATCTATTTATCTACTGAGATTAGACTCAAATTGTCTGAGTCTCTCATAATGGGATATGCGGACGTTGTATATTGGCCGTCTCTAAAACGGAGAGACCAATACTAAATTGTGAATTGATTGCCTGAGGTTGAGCTATGGTTTGCGAAAATTTGATGATATAACGCTGGCACTCAAGGATCCTCAGTGGTTAAATCTGTCTGAAAGGTATTTTGTACATCTGTCTACGTTAGTGTATAAATTTGCTAGGTACGGGAAGCCTCGATATCCCTATGATAGACTGATCAGCAGAGTATTACTGCGTTTCAGAGCTTTTTCTCATATATTGCCTTTTTCCAGTGTCTGTTATTTTTATTTATTTTTCTTATTTTTTCTCTTCTTTTAGAAATATATATTTTTTTATATTCATCTCCCTTTGAGGTGGATTTAAGGGCTCCTATTTGTATTTGTTAGTTTTTTTCATTCTTTTTTTTTGTTTTTGTTAAATTCTGAATATTCAGAGTAGCCACCAGTGTCACTTCTATTGTGGTATTTTAATAAAGGCTATTTACTATTCTTCTTCTTCTTATTATTGTTATTATTCACTTCTAATCGAGCACCCATTATATTTCTACTGAAGATAAAAGTACTTAACCTTATTTCGAAAATATATAGTTAGCTGTTTTTGATATAATAATTTTTCTGATCGGGTAAGTCAATCTCGAATTTTTTTTTTGAACCCAAAATAACCCAAGGAAATTATTCCAAATTTTAATACTTCACAGAGTTTGATGGTGTCCGGCTCTTATAGGATTCATGTCAAGGTGAAATTTCACCCAGTGCCAAATTTTAAGTAGATAACCACAATTTTTTTTTATACATTTTGTACACTTTAGCATAGTATCGCTTATTTTGCACACCCTCTATCTATCTTTGAAACATAAATTGTAGCTGGGCTAAATACCAAAAAGAATGAAACTGATAATTGAATTGAATCACAGCGCCCTTATACAAATGTAGTTTTAGAATTTTTAATTCTTAAAACTTTATCGTATTAATTCATAAATATTTTATCTGTTCGTATATTCACCAATGTGGATTTACATATTCACTTCATCATAACTGATGCATACGAATAAGCCAACTTCAACCTCTGAAATAAAAAAAAACTAGTTCGATCAAACACCTAAAGAAAGTAACGTGGTAGACGATGATTTTAACCTACTTTAAAATTTATTGGCCTCTAAGAAACCTTATTTTTATTATTCAGATTCGATCTAATCGCAATTAACGTACAGTATGTGTAAGATATCTATCACGCAGATATATTGGAAACCACATGAGACATACGAAAATGGTTGAATTATAGGAAAATTGCAAACTGTAAAGTTAATAACGTGCTGTTGAGACAACTAAGAAAATATACCAAAAAACCGAAATTTTCCAATTCTATTTAAAGATAATTTTTCAAAGAAACTTCCACATGTACCTGCTTATATATTGTTTGAGGGAGGCGGAGCTAAAGGAAGGGCACGAATATTGTGTCCAATGTTGTCTTGTCTTACAACAACTGGTGATATGACCTGAGTCGCGGTTAAGATTGATTGGTTGGGTAGAGATTCTATAAGAGAATCTATAAGCAACCAAACAATTGTTACCGTCACTCAGGTCATTACCATTCACCAACATGGAAATCGGTCACCGAGACAATGTTCACGTCCCTCCTTTAGCTCCGCCCCTATCAAAAAATATATAAGCAGGTACAGAATATAATTCGAAGTAGTTTAGGTTAAGCTCTAAAGAAGTCAACAGGATGATTAGCGAAACGTCAGCAAGTTGGACTCAGCAAAAATCGACGCAGGAGGAATCCAGAAGTTTTGTAAATTCTATTTAGAGATAAATTAAAAATAAACCTTACTTTCTTCTTGCCACTTTTTGAGCTCTACAAGACAGCATTTAGATATTTTAAGAAGGACGTTTCGTTTCGGCGAAATCGTTAACTTTATTTTTCATTTGGTCTGTGAAAAAACCGCACCATGTATTAAAAACCATTTTTATTACGAATATAACGATTTACGAAACAACGTGATTATAGATTGCTTAAATTACCAAAAAGGGGTTTTATTACATCTTTTTATTAAATGTTTTGGTTTAGTAGGCGCTGACATAATAAATAATTTAAAAAAAAATGATACCTAATCGGTGGACCACGTCACATGTTAATTCTTTAAACAAATTACTTAAAAAGAAAAATATGTTCAAACCCGTGACCATTATTTTCCGACACATATAACACCTTGTAATTGTCAAATTTAAAACATTTGTAAAGTTTTGAAAGACTTCAAGAACTACTCTTCTCAGTTGACCCGGAGTCTCAGAAATTCGCTGCTAAACATCATTTTTGCAATATGCCCATATGAAAAATCGAGTGGAATGAGATCAGGTGATCGAGGATTCGGTGTACTCGAGGATGATCTCGTGGCCAATAATAAGCATTTCGCCTGTTAATCATTCCATTAATTTTTACCGTATTTTCGTCTTAACAAATAATCTTATAGAGCAATAATTCATCTTTTTGCCATTTTCTAGTATGCCATTCGAGAAATATTCTTCGCCTTTCTTCATCACCAGGTCTGAGTGCTTGACAAATTCTAAATTTGAATGGATAAATTTTTTTTTTCAAAATTAAATGTTCTATTTTTCTAACAGAAGTCTCAGCTAATGGTACATTAATTATTGAACTGTGGTAGTTTTTACTTGATGGAAATCCATTTAACATTATATTAATTATTTTTTCTTCATTGCAGGGTTTATTTCTGGATAAAACTGGTTCCATAAATGGTGCGTTTGAGATTTGTTAAAATTTTTATGCTAAATTGTGTTCACTTTAGTAGTTATTTAAATACATACACCCAGCGTCAACGGCATTACTATAGGATTGCAGCATATCCAAGTTCTTCTCAGATGATAAAGCACGTTCGATTTTATATAGCGAAAAAGAACCAACAGAAAAAGACCCAACAAGAACGTTAAAAACGGCATATATCAATATGTTATTAAAATTATTTGTCATATTGTGTCAACGCCTACTACACCAAAACATTGAAAATTTAAGAAAACCCCTTTTTTGCGATTTCAACAATGTAGAATAATATTGTGTCCTACCTCGACGCATTCGTGCATAAAGTTGATGATGATTTCGGTGAAACGAAACATCGTACTTTATATCTCTTAATGATATTTTGTAGAGCTTAAAAAGTGGCAATGAGAAAGTGGGCTTTAAATCTCTTCAAATAACGAAACCGGCAATTTCGAGTTATTAACCTTTATATTTTGCAACTTTTTTCTAATTTAACCATATTCGTATCTATTATGGTTTCAAATATACACTGTATACTAAACAAGGCAAAAAATAACAATAAGAAAAAAAACAACTCAGTTGATCACCATTACTTACAGTAGCTGCGGACTGAACGGTCATTGGTCCAAAAGAACCTATATCGATCGTCAAAGGCCTCTGACATCTCATCAGCATTATGCTAATCAGGACTCTAGATTCTTTGCTGCATTCGTACCATTTACTTTGATAAAGTGCCGGTGCCAACTCGACACTCTAGGATAATATCGGTTCAATGGAAACAAATAATATGGAAAACGTGAAAACTGACCTGGAATACAATTTCGTCAGAATACCAAGCTAATAGCAATAGTTGACTGGTCACTGCGAATAAATGGGTGAATTTGTAGGTGATGTTGCCGCCCTACAAATCGAAATTTTTTATAACATTCCGGATATTTTTGTACCGAAATTACCGCAGTCATTTGAATAATTGATGTACCTAATATTACGGAAGAGATGGTATATTAAAAAAATACTACGTTTTTGAAAGCATAATTCACTGTATTGATGTACCTGAAAAAGACAAAGCAAATAACATATAATAAGTAAATCAGATGATGTAGCCATTTGTTCATCTTACCAGGTGCAACAAAATGCATGTCTATAGACTGCTTTCACCTTTAGATGGAAGTGTTCAATGTAATCATCCCAATGACTAATTGTGATGGTCGGTATTAGTGACAAATTGTCATTTTTGAAAAGACTTTTTAATAGATTTTTTAATATGTAAAGTTTTTACTACTCCCTTCTATAAAACACATAATTATACACCGATCTAACGTGCGAAAAGTGTCATTTTATAACGTAAATTTCGTTTTCCACGAATCCGAACATTTCCAGGATATTACCGCATGGATTTGGGAGCAATCGGATATTTTCAGAGATTTTACCGCACGCCCTGAATTTTGAAGTTTGTCAATTCTGTCATTTGTTATGTCAATGAACGTATTCGTGTTGTTTTGCAAAATGTGCCCAAAATCTAACGGTCATAGAAAAAGTATAATATATTTTATATTTTCATTATATCTTCAGATGATATATTGCTCACTATATACGTAAGTGTAGTAGCAAATCGTAGTATGGCTTTTGTTCATCGGCGCTCAACAACTTTAGCCCGTCAAGATTTAAGCTTGTAAACGCAAATATTTACTTGTGAAATTTATTGTGTATTTAGTTAAATATTCCGGTTTCTTCATAATTTTGAAATGGATTCTATTCATGATGATAACTACTTCATACTGCTCTATAATTCACTGTTTGTATGACATTTAATTAAGGATTCATAATAGTTTAAAGTTTCCTGTTCAATTTTTTGGATTTCATTTAGAGTTTTAAAAAAATCACTTGAGAGATCACCTTCAATATTTTTTTATCAATTGATTATAAACTAATGGAGTTTTCCCAGAAAAAAAATTTGAATCACTGTGGATTACCATAGTTATGTTTTTTTTTTATTAGAGAGAGGTGTTATAATCAATAGAAGCAAAAAAGGAAATCGAAAGCAGCTTGTATATGAAAAAATGCTAAAGGTCATTAATGTAGATGAGCTTCAAATTATTTGCAAAGCAAAATTCGGATATGCATTAAGTTTTTTGATTTAAAAATGGCAGATACATGCCAGTGGGGTAGCTAATACAATTGGGAGTTTACTAACATAGAAACACATTACATAGAACGCACGGATGAGTTTTTAATTATAAATCCTAGGACTTATCAACTAGAGTAATTAAGTTTTTGCTGAATAAAAAAAAAACTAAAATCCATGGAAATTGATTGATTGACATGATTGACATTGAATTGTGGTTGACGATCGATATGAATACATTGAATATGAGTAATCGGCCTTCCTACGTAGATAACTACCGCTGTGGTTTGTCTACATTACATTGCTGGATTTGTTTTTTTTTTAGTGCTTTTGCCACATCGAATACCGGCAACAGGAAACGAAACCAAGAAGAGTTTAAAGCCCAAATGAGCCTAATAGTGGACAAGGCAAACCCAAATGGTGGAAATACTCCCAAAAAAGTTTTCCAGAATCCTTAAATGAGCTCGGAAATCACAGTGTATATATGCCTGGTATAATATGCCTAATACTATCCACAAAGTCCTTGTTAATGAGTGTGAGATGATCGAAGCATTTTCTTTACCAACCGGAGAACTTTTTTTTAACTATGATGGATTTTTGTTTATTAGAATTTATGTGTAGAAATGACGTGATTTGCGACTGAACTTTCGTTACTAATGCTTGTCTATCTCCGGAACTGCTCATGATATTCCATTTAAAGATGAGCGCATCCTATTTCGTTATTATCTATGGTTCAATACGGAAGGTACATACATAAAGTAGACAGACACTAAATAAAAAAAAAGCTGTTGAAATTTTTTTTAAAGATTGTAAAAGCTTGTATTAATTTTTGAGGAGCGTTATTAAGATTTGCTAAAAAGATGATCCAAATATTGTACACGTCAATTACTCGGCCGGTAGTTAATTATGGCAGCGAAACCTGGACCCTCAAATTAACGGGAAATAAATAACTTCGTGTATTTGAAGGAAAGATGCTTAAAAAACAACAGACGCACATAGAAAGCGGCACATTGCAGAATTGGCTATACTGTATGGTGAAAATATAGCATTCATGTCATGTCATGTAGATATGTCATGTGGTAAGATCAGAAGAGTGACCTTTTCAGAGACCGTATGGCAGAAGATCAATATCCAGAATTGGGGTGTAGCAGTGGGAAACCGAAGCATAAGATCATACGAGGTGGAGAGCAATAATGGATGCGGTTAAGACTTACCCTGTATTGTAGGGCCAGGAAAGAAGAAGCTTATTGCTGAAGAGCAAGATACAAGATAAAAAAAAGTCGAGCAAATAACGTAGGGACAATCAATTTAAAAGAGTTTAATGTAATAATTTGAAATTGGATAACTTGACACAGGCCTAATAAGTAATTTTTTGATAATATGCACCGCAAAATAAGCGAAAATGATAGTAACTCTTGAATTTTAAACCACACATACTGTTTTTTGTCGAATTTTTGGATTCGGGGGATTGATCGATGCCGGATAGTGACGTTCATTTTTCCTAATATTCATTTGATATCGAAAAGTTTATCTAGGGAACAGCGTACGTAACAATTTAAGGGTTGCGTGAAAAAATGTTACTAATGCAACTGCTGCGAAAGTGATTTCATTCACTGTTTAAAAGTAGACAGACACTAATTTAAAAAATCAGTTGAAATGAACTCTAAAGATTGAAAAACATTGTATTTATTTTTGAGGAGCATTATTAACATCTGTTAAGTATGTTACAGTATGCAGGATGTTGCGCTCTTTCAGATTGAATATTGCACTTCATCAAAGCACCATTGATCGCAGAACACTTACATAATTAGTTTTTGATGTTTTTCGCACAGGAACTTCAATGCTGTAAAGCTATCATTTCTATCCCTTTCAGCCATGTTTTCGAAAAAATTGCAAAAGTTGTATTGTAATATTTTCAACTGTCCCCTCATATAAATCAACATGGAGTTACTGAACATATGCACCGATACGAATAATAATGCGCAGTTAGTAGCTGCTCAACCAGAACCCAGATATGGACTTTGCTTTCATCCAAAGGGTACCAGAAAGTGAGTGGCAGAGGTTTCTTTAAAGTTTGATTCTCGTTTTTCCATAGTCTGTGATATTTGTAACTACCTGCTATTCCTGCAATGCAAAACACTGTTCACTGACTATTGGTGAGCCGTATCACTTACCAAGTTCCCATAACAGAACAACAGAAGATGCGGCTGAAACGAAAATAAATTTGTTGAGACGATTGTAAAACAGGACGTGCTTTTTGTAAATTCTTTTGGCAATATCGTCACCGTATTGATGCAAAATGGTCTCTTCTTTGATGGCTTCTGCGAGCACGTATTTCGAACTTTCGGACTGATACGAAAACAATTTAGCCATCAATAATACAGTAGTTTTGGTAGGGCCTCGTTCGCTGAAAATTTTTCCTATATTTCTAATAATTCATTTATTTAAAATACCTTCGCTTGGGTCATTTTCCAGAAGATATGGTAAATTTAATCCCAACAGCAGAGGTAAAGAGGCGCATATCGCGCAAATCATTATAGAATAAATGGGATAGATCCTTGTAAAACCTCTGAACGGCTCAGGTAGTTCTAGTTTCCAGATGCCTGCCCAAGTCATCGCGATTCGCGCAAAGAGAAACAGTTCTGGGTGCGGCATCGTTATCACAGCAACGCATTCGTTTCTGTTTTGCGACTTTTTAAAGGAATACTTGCCTGCGTGTGGGGCAGATAGCTCGTATTCGTCGTCCATAGGCGTTCCCAATTCCTTTTGTGCATTTTTTTTTAGGGTTAGACTACATTCATCTTAGGTGGGAAATTTTTGCTGGATAATATCTATGAGGTTATTTGTGTGCTTTTTATTCCTTAAATATATGTTCGTAGAAATTTCAGTAAGAATGAAAAACAAACTAACAGCTAATTGTCTTGAATTGCGTTAAAACTTCAAACCTTTACTATTTACTAAAACGAATATTCATGAACTAACGCACGCTACTGACTTCTAAATATGCATCAGGGAACGCCCACAGGCGGGGAAAGCTTTGTCATTACAAAGCCAACGAAATGCAACATTTTATCAGAGCCCAACTTATAATTTTCTGAACCTGTTCAGCCTTACGTATTTTAATATCACCAAGTCGCATATTATTTGCTTTTATTTTTCGCTTACATTATTCATTTACATTCTCACATTGTTATTTTACACGTTTTTTTGTGCGTAGTGGGGGATACGTGGGGGTGATGTAATTTCTGATCGAAAATTGTGATTATTATCAGTAGTAGTTAAGGTTTGATTAGCTTATTTATATTTATTTATTTGTTTATTTCAGTACCCAACATTATGTAATCACATTATGGTTTACAAAATACAGATAACTATTCTGTTACTAGTCCTAGATAAGATTTAGAAAAATCGAAAACCGGGAAAGGAAAAAAAACAGGAAATTAATGTATTATAGCAAATCAATATGTAATCATAAAAACAGCAATAGCTACTTTTTTAGTAGATATAAGGCTATTCATGTCTATGTGATTAAAGTAGTTATTATATGAATGGGGAGTTTGCTTGGACTTGCCAATATATTTATACAACCTAATATTTGAGGACATGCAATTTTATTAGAGAATATAGGAGCTCAGTTTTACTAATTGAAGGCGCCTATGTCTTTTTTCCTACTGAAAGAAATTTAGGTAATTTATGTATTTAAAATGCATTGGATTCCATACCTCCGGGTTTGACCTGGCAAGTGCGTAATATAAAAGGATCGCAGAAAGAGCATTTTAAATCTGAAGTTTCGACACGATTTATTTACTATTGTCTCAATATGTTTTCAGATAATAGCTTGAAGTCTTACGTTACCCCAAGATCCTTATCATCATCATTACTTAAGCTCTGTCTAAAACCTAAGTTATTTTTGAGTCTAGAAAAGGTTATTTGAAAGCACTTATTGTTATTAATCATGTTTCTTTCACAGTATTCGGTAAAACTATCTCAATCTGCTTGTAGTTCCTAGCAATCAGAGATAGTTTTAGTCACCTTTTGTACTTCATGCAATCTTAGTATTGGAAACACTGCTGAACATACGGAATGAGATTACTGGATGTCGACCGACCTCCAATGTTAACATTTAGTAATACCATTTTTTAAATTAAAGAATAATTTTTTGGCTAGAATGGCCTCAAATGTTTTTCCGAATGTCGACAGCATGGATCTAGATCGATAGTTTTTGTTAGTCCTCATTCCCCAGCCGGTTCCATTGGATTGGAGAAACTTGTTGGTTTAGACATTTATCGTAAATTAATTTTAACGGCTTGTTAATTTTTCAAAGAAACTTTCGCAGGCTACTGTAATACTTTTTACAAAAGTTCTGGATTGGTCCTGCGTCCGGTTTTGTTGAGTCGAACTAGCTAACGTTTCGCCAATCATCAGAGCTTGACTGAAACTGTTTCGACTCAACAAAAACCGACGTAGGAGGAATCCAGAAGTTTTATAAAAAGTTTTAACGGCTTCATTAATATATTTTTACATTTCTTAAAAAAATAAAGAGTGAAGGTATTAGGTCAGCACCTGGCCCTTAAATTATACCAGTGTTAGTAATCTGCTTAACAATTTGCTCTTCGGTGATAATAGTTTGGCCGGTATTGAAAAATTGATTCGTGATGTCGAAATGGTTTTGCATAATTGCATTTAGCTCAAGAACAGCGGGAAAATACTTTGAGATATGCTTTTATCAGTGGTGTGTGTGACTTCTTCACATTTAAATGTTGTAGGCAAAGTTCTTGCCTTTGATTTATTGCACCAAAAACTTTTCATGACTAGTAAATGCCTGTTTCAGTGTTATCAAAGTATTTTTGATATTTAAAGGTTTTTATGGACATTCTGACCGCTTTGATTAAATTTGAAAAGTTTATAAAATATAAATTGTTACTATATTTTCGCAATTCTGGTGGAATTTATATTTTTCATTAATTAAAGGTCTCTGATTCGCAGAAAACCAAGTAGGGTATTTTGAGCTTGCTTTTATTCTTTGGAACTTTATTTTCGATTATTTTGTTAAGTTTATATAAAACAGGTCTACACCGTTAGGTGCAGTGGAAGTTGAAAGCAGAAATTCTCATTTTATGGTACTCATACGATTATTGATATCACCGTAATCAGCATAATGGAATTTGCGTTTTTGGAAGCTACATTTTAATTTGTGTTGGTTTTTAAATGGCAATTTTTGGATAACATCTGTAGCGCAATGATTCGAATTCTCAAGCACGAAGGGTGGTTGACATTTTGCGCATTTATCTCTGGAAAAGAACTAAATATTTGATCAGAAAATTCTCCTTTGAATCGGATATTCCACGAAGGGATTCTTAAAAATTCAATATGTAGTGAATTACGCTTCCATGTAGATTTTGACATGTAATTCTCGATGGAATGCTGCAAATCAGCTGATGTGTGGTATGTTCTCCCAGGATAATCTTCCTTCATTATGTAGGTGTTGTAAAGGGAGATCCATTATAAATGTTACCCCAATCTACCACTTTTATTTTAAATTGTAGGAACATTTACTCAAAAGTTGTAGCGTTTAATGTATAGATTTAATATATATACAAATTCGAAATATTACCGTCAAAATCACAAAAATTGAAATAGGGCCATCGAGTATATGACTTATACAATGTATAGATAATACAAATTTGTACTTACTCACTACCTTAATGATAAGGAATATTGCGCCAAATGTTGAAAAGGTCCTCTCTTTTCCTGAATACATAGTTGATACCCTCCTTTTAACTTATTTAAAGCTTTCATTATTTAGCCTGGCTTTCATATTCTTTAATTCACTTCTAATTAGGTCTTTAACGTCTACAAAATGCTAATTGGTCGTCAAACTAATTTCTGAATTTTTCTAAAACTCTTCTGCAAATAGATAACACCTTTGCTTATGGAAATCAAGGAATTTTGTAAAAACAATTAAAATCATATATTAATCTCACTAATCAGTTTTTCTGTCCAGCGTTGTGTTCCTTTGAAATGTTCTAAAAATGCGATTGAATGCTATTTTGGGTCGTATGTATGTATGTATGTATTCCCTGGGAATTTGCATATATTCGCGTCTAGGTCTTTTTTATCATGTTCTACATGCAACAGATCTGAAAGGCATATGTTTATTAACCAAACTAACTTTAGTTTCTAATATTCTATTTATGCTAGACATTACCGGAGTGTTTTTTAAAATACCCTACATAATTATTGATAATTGAGGAAAATGTATTAACAAATATTAATTAATTTTTTCGTAGACATTACATGCGAGCGGCTAAGCCACAGGTGACGAAGAAAATTAACTCCTTCAAGGATATTTTCCGTATATTCAATATTATATATCTGATTATCGGGTTGAATGTAATATTGGCGATATTCCCCGTATTGTCTATCGCTAATTTGGTGGTTTCCGAATTCAAGGACACGGACAATGTATGGGGAGGTGAGTCGAAAATATTTCTTTTAAAAGTGGTGGAAGAAGTAGCTGATTGACTATTTTTTAAATAAATGTCAAAATACAGAGAACCAAAATGGTAGGAAACTCAATCTACCAAAAAAAAACCTTCACCAACAGACGCACAAATAAACTATGAACATCTACAAATCTATTGTCGTGTGGTTATAAAAGAACTCGTTAACGTTAGAACTGCAATTGCTATGGCTTTTTCATTCATCAACTCTTAATTCGTTTACGCGGGTGGGGAATTTCAACATATTAGTACGGCATCAATCATAAGTCTGCAAGTAGTTACAGAAATCTCGAATCTGCGAATACTGCGAAATCATATTTCAGATCTGGTTAATGAACAATCTACTTAGGTTTTTGGTAATACGGACCAAGCTTGTTTTTATTTTTTTGTTTTCTGATATCCTGAGAATAAAATTATTATTTGCTACGAATTTTATTACTATACCTTCACAAAATATCATTTTCTAGTATAATTAGTTTTATTGTAACTTACAGAATCTCACCATTCTCCATTTTTATTTTTTCTTATTTTATTTATATTATAAATTACACATTAGACTCATAATTCAAGTTTTCAAACTGACGCCCGTCAGTTTAAAACATGATACTCGTAAGTTTATTATGGGACTATCGGAAAACATAAAGGAATAATAAAAAAACACAACCAATAAATAAAAATCATATTTTTGTTAGTAAAAATATCGAGAAATTAAAATTTTACTTAAAGCGTTATGTCGTTATATTAGGCGTTTATATTTAAGACTGAACTCAAATTTTATTTTTGTTAAAAAAGATTCAATTAAAAAGATTTACAAAATCTAAATATTCGTCACAACAAAGAAAATATTGCAAATTTTCCATCATAGATGAGAACCTACAGGTCATATAATACCATTTACAATTCTTGTTGTTGGTTGTTGCTAAATCGAACTTACTGACGTCTCGCTAATCATCCTGTTGCCTTCTTCAGAGCTTAGATGCAACTGGCTCGCATTCTATTCTGTACCTGCAATCCAGTGCTTATCTGGTACATATTTTTCTTATAACTTACTAGTCATCGCGAATATATTTCTGTAAGCTTTTGAGAAGAAAACACTCGACACCTTCAATTTAAAACCAACATTATGAAAACGCCATGTTGACGATACTTTTTTTATTTGGCATCATGTTCAAGAATTGTTCCGATATTGTCTTAGCCATATACAGCGTAACATACATTTTACTATTGATTTAGAGACTAATATAATCTGCATTTTTAGATAATCTTATTAATAGAAAATCAGACCTCACATTGGGTCAATTTGTTTACAGGAAACCTACGCATTGCATAATGCATTGTCATATCACCAAAATCATCAGTTATCAATTCTTTTGTTTACAGAGCCGCAAAACTATCGCAATCCAAGTCACTCAACCCAGAATTTAAACACCTTACAACTGCACTTCTCAAGTAATTTCTAGAGTTTCATCACTAAATACACCTCAGAACAACCTTCCTTACATTCAAAACATCACCGACCACATATCAAAAGTTCTTAAAAAATATAACATTAAAACCAGATTTACTACCCGTCCAAAAATCTCTTAACATCTTTGATCCGTCAAAGATAAAATTCTGTTTGAGATGGCAGGAATTTACAGCGTTTCATGCCTATGCGGCAAAGAATACATTGAAAAAACAGCATGACAAACATCAACTAGGCTAAAAAAAACATAAAAGAGCTTTAGGGCTACGTCAAATAAATTTATCACTAGTTGCCGAACACAAACATGAAACTGGACATCAAATCTTATTCGATAAAACTAACATTCTAGCATGTAATCAATTTTTCTACCAACCAAAAATCCGAGCAACTAATCTTAACCGTGACTCATGTCTTTAGCTTTCACTAATATGAGCATTAGTTATCCAATATGATGGGTGTTTTTTTCGATGTATAGAACTTTAAGTTGGCATTACTGTTCAAGATGGCGACCGATTTAACAGATGTCAAGTGATTTATTCTCAGTTTGCAAATAATGCAATTTTATTTAGAAAATAATGGTTCTGTGCGGAATAGTATCCGCACTACGTCCATTTTATCGTCGACAAAGTCGTCCATCATAGCAGTTAATTCGAATAACCATGGAACGTTTTCGCACCACGTTTACTCTTATTGATAACTCGCATCCCCAGAGACGCCGTACGGTGCGTACAGAAGAAGCTATTGCTGCTGTAGAGCGTAGCATTGAGGAAAACCCGAATGAGTCCATCCGTCATCGAGCACAGAAATTGGATCTGTGTCCATCCACTTTATGGAAGATTTTGCGGAAGGATCTTGGTTTACGTGCTTACAAAATCCAACTCGTGCAAGAATTGAAGCCAAACGATTATCAAGTAAGGCGTAGACTCGTCGAATGGGCCCAAAATGAGATTGCCGTTGTTCCCGATTTTCATAAGCGAATTTTGTTTAGCGATGAAGCGCACTTCTGGTTGAATGCGGCAAAACTGCGGCATTTGGAGCGAAGCTAATCCTCAAGTGTATGTCAAACACCGTGACATCCAGAAAAACTGACTGTTTGGTGCGATTTATGGGCTGGTGGAATCATTGGTCCGTACTTCTTCAAAAACGATGATGGGCAGAACGTTACAGTCAATGGTGATCGGTATAGAGCTATGAGTACTAACTCTTTCATTCCTGAATTAAATAACCATGATGTCCAGGAGATGTGGTTTCAACAAGATGGCGCAACATGTCACACAGCTCGTGCCACAATCGATTTATTGAAAGACACGTTTGGTGACCGCCTAATTACACATTTTGGACCTGTGAATTGCCCTCCAAGATCTTGTGATTTAACACCGCTAGACTACTTTCTGTGGGGCTATGTACACCCATTGGTCTATGCGGATAAGCCACAAACGCTTGACCATTTGGAAGACAACATTCGCCGTATTATTGCCGATATACGGCCCTAAATGTTGGAAAAAGTCATCGAAAATTGGACGTCCAAATTGGACTACATCCGCGCCAGCCGTGGCGGTCATATGCCAGAAATCATATTTAAAATGTAATGCCACAAGATTACCTTTCAGATAAATAAAATTCATGTCAATCGAATAATCCATCGTTGTTTTATTGCAACTTAAAGTTCTATACTTCGAAAAAGAAACACCCCTTATAAGCAGGTACAGAGTAAAATGCGAGCCAGTTTCAGTTAAGTTCTGCAGAAGCAGGATAGTTATCAACAACCGAAGCAGGAGGAAGATTTGTAAATAGTATTGCAAATCTTGAAAAATTAAAAAGGTCATATAATATAATGACAACGACAAGACTGTACACAGCCTGAACGCATGTTCCACTCACTCGTACATAAGTTATTTTACTTCTTTTAAAGCAATCCAATGATAGTATTTAGTATGTCTACCGATATTACCCTATATAGTTCTATTTAAATTTTTATCTTAATCTTAAAGCTTTTTCATGTTTTTTCAGATAAGTATTTCGTCACTGTAGCGACGTATTTTATACCGGCAGTGTGCGATATCGTCGGTAGATTGACGAGCAACATTTTTGATAGGGTAAGCCAGCGCCTTTTACAGTTATGAGCGAAACACGATCTGTTCGCTCCAATTTAGTAAAAAATAGCAACACCGTTAATAAAACAAAACAAATCTAATCTATATATCTTATTTATTGTCTCTATATCTCTCAATCTTATTTATATTCCGTGTTCTGGGCAAATAGCCAACACTGGGCGTTTTGAAAAATTGGGCACTATGGAAGTGTTTAAAAAAAGGTCTAGATAAAAAAATACAAATTAACAAAAACTTATTTAACATTTTATATATGTTAAAAAATGATTACTTTTATAATTGTAATGATTTTTTTTCTCCCGTTTGCCATTTAATACAAAGATTAGCGAATATTATTGTAAAATATATTAGGACTCCCATATTTAATGACAGATAGTAGTCGACAGGAAATTTTTTCCAAAGGTGTTTAAAAGTTTTTCCAGTCTGCTATCTCAACTAACTATACAGGGTGGTCCGTAATGAATGGGCCATACAGTAACCGTAGAGTTTAGATATCAAATTAGACCACTCGAGCCAAAAATTTATAATTTATTGTGACAAATCTGAATTTGAATTTAGTTTTAGATTGCTTATAGATTGCGCTTTTTTGCCATTTTTTATCTGATACATTTATTGTTTGTATTCTGGTATGTTACAGAAAATAAGTTAAGTTTTCGAGAAAATCGAAATTAAAAGTTTCAGTGCACGTGAACCTTACGATAACGGCCATCATTATCTTATTACTAACTGAAGAAGATTTTGACTCAAAAAGTAAAAATAAATAAAACCCATCTTTTCTCTACAACCGATGTTTTGTTTAATGGCAATAAAAAACAAATTCTGTTGTATTATCAATCAACAAATTTACAATAATTAATCATTGTTTTCAATAACCACCATTAACCTGACAAGATACCTAATTTATTTCAAATAGCATCCATTTCTTCATGAATCTTCTCTAGAAGATTCTCTCGCGTTGTGATTTCTTTCTTATAAGCCCAAAAGTAGAAATAGAAGCGTTCTATCAGTGTAGGAAACTTTAATCCAGAAAATCTAGAACCAATCGAGGATAATATTTTGCCTAATTGCAAGTGTCTGACAATTGAATTGACAAAATGTTTTGTAAGGATCGCAAATATTCTTACGGTAACTTAAGTCGTGCTGGGAGTTCATATGGCCCAACGATCACGAATCACCAATATTGGCACACCATATACACTTAATACAGAAAAGCGTGACGTATAAAACACTTTTTTTTTAAATGGAGCGCACTATTTTTAAATTTTGTTTGAATTCCTTTTAAAATTCTTCAAATTTTTTAATAATGACAATACACACCTAAACCTAACAGTTTTTACAATATTCAAATTTTTCTAAAGTAAATACTAGTTTTTGACAGTTGCAAAAAAAATTGTTATATTTATCATATACCTATTGCCATGTATTTTGGCTTTTCCAATATTTACTTTTCTTTCTATCTATGACAAAACATTTAACCAACAGGGCTCAGTTAACCATCGAGACTTCGAGAATTTTTAAATAATCATTTCTTTTTGTGGGGATATGTTAAAGATCGTGTTTATCTGAATCTCCCTACAACACCCGAAGAAAATATGATATGATAATTAAAAATAAGATAAGTTATTTGTAGTAACAAATATTTAATATTATTTACTTTTTATGCGAAATTAAAATTTGCCAGTTATTTTCACCAGGATTGCTAATAAGTGTCCGTTAATTTATCTAGGGCTCCAACGTTTTTTTTTCTGTTCATTTTTTGATCTTATTCTGTTGGCTAATAGTTTTGTCATGCCAATAGTCTGAGACAGAATGAAGAGTAAATATTGGAAAAGTTAAACCAAATCGCAAATTATTAGGAAGAGGAAATATCATACTAAAATAAAAGTTGAAGGTTTTTGTAAAATCTTTCAGAAAAAATATAATAATGTGCCATCTAAGAAAATGGAGTTTATTTTTGAACACATCCTATAGTTTTTTTTATTGTCTTCGCTAATATCAAATATGAGTGATACCTAGTAATTTTTAAGTAAAATTTAAATATTAGAAAAACTATTAGGTTAAGGTATTTACTATTATCATTAAAAATGTTGAAGAATTTCAAATCGAATTGAAAGCAAAATTGAAAAACAGGGTGTTCTATTTAAAATAAAGTATGTTTTATTGGCCTCGCATTTTTGCATCCTAACAATCTTTACAACTATTTTCTCATAACTTCTAAAACCAATGAGATAATAAACTTTACACTATCGTTGACTCACCCTGTATTTCCACACATGGAACTCGTTTTTCCCCAACATTTGCCGAGATCTAGGCAGATTTTGAGAAAATACTGCCAAACTTGACACAGAATGATTGAAAGCTATACCTTTGATTTGTTCACAATTGCGCAGCCATTTTGAGTCAAAGCTTTGATTAGTAAAACGAAAGTTTAGTTTTATCGACAACTAAGTTGTTTATGGATATTAAATAAAAGAACTTTTTTTTTAAGATACAATTTGTCGGTTTTTTCCCAAAGCCAAAAAGTTTAGAGTATAATGAAAATATTCCACTGAAAAGTGTATTACCAGTGCCCTCTAAAAGCAACCTACTAAACTGATCAAATTATGAAATAAATATCAAAGTAAAAGTTATCCTAAAACCTATTTTGAATTTTGGAAACGAGCAATTGAAACATTTTTGGTGCAAACGGTACGTATTGACGTCTAGACTCTGCTGTTACTCTACGACGCCGTCATTATGAACCACCGTCGATAAGCTAAAGTAAGGCAATCGGAAATTTCTAGGATTTTTCGATATGGTTCCTCTACGTACTTTCGACTGTCAGGACCGCCATTTTGTCCCCGATGTTGTTTTTCTCTAACGCGTTGCCGAGAACACGCACCCCCGTTATATTCGGCAACGATTGGGAATATATCTTGATAATGGCGGCCACTTACTTCACCCAGTCTTATTTCGGTAACGTTATCATGTTGAAAATGATAAGGTGAGTTTATTTTGCGCCGTTCCCAGTTTTTTTAAAATCCCGTTTCAGGTCCGTGCCCAAAGACAAATTGGACTTGACGTTTTCGGTAAACATGTTCTTCACGGGAACCATTACTGCAGTGGGGACCCTATTTGGCATAATAATAGTGGCCTTACTCTAAATGGACCCCTCCTTCCAACAGTTTACATCAGAAATAGACGAACGGAACGATGGGCCATATCTGGATAGAATTTTTTTTTTCCATGGTCTTACTAGTTGATAGTCACTCGTCTGTGATATTATTGTTTTCAAACTAGCTGCTTAAAATTTGGTTGCAGTGTTGCTCCTTGTATCGAAAAGTAGCGACAACTTTGATTTTTTACGTGAAACACAGTATGTATACAGAATGTTTTCTAATTGAATGTCAATAATTAAAGGGACGCAAATTATTAAGAAGAGGAAATAACATACTAAATAAAGGTGAAGGTTTTTGTAAAATCTTTCAGAAAAAATATTAATACATATGGTGTGCCCTTTAAGAAAATGGAGATTTTTCAATTTAAAATGATGCAAATATATTCGTTTATTTTGAACACATCCTATAGTATTTTTTATATTGTCTTCGCTAATATCAAATATGAGTGATACTTTTAAAATTTTTAAAACCCAGTAATTTTTAAGTAAAATTTAAATATTAGAGAAACTATTAGGTTAAGGTATTTATTTTATCATTAAAAATGTTGAAGAATTTCAAAACGAATTGAAAACAAAATTGAAAAACAGGGTGTTCTATTTGAAATAAAGTATGTTTTATTGGCCTCGCATTTTTGCATCCTAACAATTTTAACAACTATTTTCTCATAACTTCTAAAAACAATGAGATAATCAACTTTATACTATCGTTGACACACCCTGTATTTTTGGGTCCATTTTAAAAACTTTATATGAAAATATGTCCTAAACGTCTTAACTTTTGAGATACAGGGTGGTAAAGTTTCAAAAATAAAATATATTTTTTTAATATCGGTAATACCACTATAGATATTTTAATTAAATTTGGCATGTATATATTATGTACCTCAATTTTTTTTAAATATACCATTGGCGGTAATAATAATTCCCGCCTTCTGGTGCAAAAAACACGTTAAAGAACTATGTTCAATATTCCCATAGTTTTCAAAGAATTATCCAAATCAATTGTAAATAATATAGACACTTTATCAAAACATTTAAAAACGCTAAAACAACTAAATCGCGACTACGATTGGGAAGAATATATTTCTAAAACTGATTGTCCTAAACTCAATGACTTAAAACTATTATTGAAATCAAATTCGGATCTTCTGGAAACAACGCGATGTAATGCTTTTTTCACAAAAAACACGAACGAAAATTCAAATTTTACGCACACTGTTCATGGTATACTAGACCCGGGCTCGCAATTTAACTTAAACCAGTTTTAAAACACTCAAGATAGGAACTGAGAGTTTCTTAGGATTCGGATCTTGTGTTTTTCCTGTGTAAACAAAAGAATTGATATATTGCGTCTTAGCATCGCAGAAGCACATTATCTTGATCCCATATTTTTGGGTTTGCTCTTGATATATTGCCGGTGTTGCGTTTGAAAATTGGTGGACTGTATTTTCGTTGGTTCAAAAACACTAACGTTATCACTACATAAGACTTTATTCCTCTTACTGCCGAATAGATAACAATACTAACAGACTAGACAAAAAAAAGAACATGGTCTCTATTCGTTCGCCGCCGACATGCTTCTCCCTCTCCTTCGCGGCCGGCGCCGGGAAAAAGTCGAGTATGTTGGGTTGCATACCGCACAAAACTAAACATAAACCCCCGGCCTTGAAAGGACACCCTTTCAAACACATTACACTACTACTGCTGAATTTGTAGGTAATGGACAAATCTTCGCAAAGGAGCGCTTTAAGTTGCCTCTCTGGGTCCTAATTGTAGCTACTCTGCAAATTCCATCCTTCCCTGGATGCAAATCTTCGATCCTCCCCAACAACCATTTGCATGGAGGAAGATTGTCCTCTTTGATCAGCACTAGATCATTCTTCTTTAGGGAGTCATGATTCGTTCGCCACCTTGTTCGCTGTTGTAGCTCCGACACATACTCGCTTGACCATTTGACCCAAAAGTATTGTTGCAACCTTTGAACTTGTTGGAAGTGAGACAACTTGTTCTCTGGGACTTCGGTGAGATCTGGATCCAGAACTGCTACCATCGGACGACCGATTAAGAAGTGGGAAGGTGTTAAAGGAGTATAATCTGATGGATCATAAGAGAGGGGTGACAGAGGACGTGAATTTAGCAAAGCCTCAATCTGAACCAACAAGGTATAAAATCGTTCGTAAGTTAATAGTGCGTTACTAGCGTCACGTTTCAGATGGAATTTAATTGCCTTAACATCGGCCTCCCACAATCCACCAAAATGAGGTGAATGGGGTGGAATGAATGACCTTGAAACACCGTCATTTTCTATAGATTCAGTCAAAAGCTCCTTATTTTCTTTCAAAAATAGACCAAGTTGGATAAGTTCTTGATCCGCTCCTAAAAAATTACTCCCGTTATCTGAGTATATTTGAGTAGGCTTTCCACGACGCGATGCAAAGCGTCTTAAGGCTGCCAAAAAGGCTTCAGTAGTTAAATCTGCTACTAATTCTAGATGGATGGCACGCGTGGTAAAACAAACAAAGACACAGATATAACCCTTTGTCACCTTGAAACCACGCCCTTGTCTGTCTCGAATCGAAAATGGTCCTGCGTAATCTACCCCGGTTATAAAAAATGGAGGGGCTGGATTTACACGTGTACTAGGTAGATTTCCCATTAACGGACTGATTGAACGTGAGTTAGCTCTAAAACATTTTATACATTCATAATATACCTTACGTGCTATGTTTCGTCCAGCTATGGGCCAATATTTTTCGCGAATACTAGACAATAAAAGTTGAGGACCCGCATGTAATAATTGTTGATGTTGACGTATAAAAAGCAACTTGGTAAATTCGTGCTTTGATGATAAAACGATTGGATATTTTTTATCAAACCCAAAATTTGAGTTAGTAAGCCTACCACCTACTCGTAAAATGCCGTCAACATCGAGGAAGGGATGTAACTTAAATAGTTTACTACATTTGTCAATTTTTAAATTGCTCTCAAGTGCTAAAATTTCTTTACTAAAAGATTGGCTTTGCGAAAGCTTGATAAGATAATTTAAAGCATTACAAATTTAATTATATGTTAAGACACCTCCATTTCGAAACTCCTTTGATTTAAGAGCATTTTCCTTAAATCTAAAACAATAGGCAATTATACGTTCAAGTTTGGATAAACTTGAACAATTTTTTAAGTCAATGGAATCTTGAATTGAGCATATTTGCGTTTTTACAACTACCTTTCTTAATTCTGGTAAAATTTCTTCTGTGTTGCACATCTTAGGCCGAAAATCTTCCGACTGTTTGAGCCAATCTGGCCCTGACCAATAAAGTTCAAGCGACAGTAAATCCGTTGGGTTTAGCCCCTCGCGACACATGATCTGCCGGGTTCTCTTGAGTCGGTACATGTCTCTAATTTCCTACATTCGATAATTCTTGAATTTCGGAAACGCGATTTGCCACAAAAACTTGTAATAGATTAGACGGTTTGTTTAACCACCCTAAAACAACCGTAGAACAAGACCAAAAAATAGATTTATCGACTTGTATATTAAGTGACGTCGTAACCTTACTCATCAATCTCGCTAACAATAGCGCAGTCATTAATTCCAGCCTTGGAATAGTTTGAACCTTTAATGGTGCCACCTTTGATTTTGCACAAATGAGCTTGACTAAGACTTCATGCCTTTTATTGCGTGTCTTCACATACACGCACGCACCATAGGCATATGCCGATGCACCCGAAAATCCATGAAGCTCAGTATAAATTGCATTTTTGCACGTTACCTGTCGTTCTATGTTAAGCTCATTCAGTGAAGGTAAGTCATCACGAAAACGTAACCATCGGGTGTGTAAAGATTGTGGTAAGGAACTATCCCTGTCTATCCTTTCTAACCAGATATCGCGTCAAATAATTTTTGCTAATATAATACACGCGCTTAATAACCAGAGGGGGTCAAAAATTTGCGATATTTCGGAGAGAACCGTCCGTTTTGTCACAGATTTTTTGGAAATATTCCCTATCCTGTACGAAAGCGTATCTTCCCTACCGTTCCAAATTAAGCCTAATGTTTTCGTATTTTCGTTTGCACCCAAATCTAAAATATCTGTTTTATCGGCCGTTTCAATTTTATCCAGGATTTTTGAACTGTTCGATACCCACTTACGCAAATGAAAACCCGATTTGCTAAGAATTTTCGAAACGTTGTTTGCTAACTTTATTGCTTTCTCCACGCTATCAGCACCAGTCAGCATATCATCAACATAGAAATCTTTTTTGATAACCTGCGAAGCGTCGGCGCATTCCGTCTCACATTCTATACCAATTTGATAAAGACATCTAGTTGCTAGATATGATGCAGATTTCGTACCATAAGTGATGGTGTTCAGCTCGTAAGTATCTATAGAGTTGTTTAGATCATCTCTCCATAAAATGCGTTGAAAACACGTTTGTTCCGGGTTTACGCGGCACATCCTATACATTTTTTCAACATCCGCGGCAATCACAAAATTATGCTTTCGATATCGCAAGAGAATAGAGAAAATGTCTGATTGGATATTGGGACCATTCATTTGTAAATCGTTAAATGAGTGCCCAGTAGTCGTAGGACATGATGCATCAAACACCGTTCTGAGCCTTGTGGTTACGCTATTTTCATTAATGACGCCGTGATGCCACACTGCTTACCTCAGTCCACCTTAACTTCGCCGTCGTCCAGTACTTCCCCTCGCATCCCCACGGCCGTCCCTTCATGATTCGCACCGCTTTATATTTACCGCCACTCGCGCACTTTAGAGAACTTAGACTTAAATAAGAAACAAATAATAACAAAATAACGTAATATGTATACGGTATGCTACAAGTTTCTTAGGATTCTGATCTTGTGTTTTTCCTGTGTAAACAAAAGAATTAATATATTGCGTCTTAGCATCGCAGAAGCACATTATCTTGATCCCATATTTTTGGGTTTGCTCTTGATATATTGCCAGTGTTGCGTTTGAAAATTGGTGGACTGTATTTTCGTTGGTTCAAAAACACTAACGTTATCACTACATAAGACTTTATTCCTCATACTGCCGAATAGATAACAATACTAACAGACTAGACAAAAAAAAGAACATGGTCTCTATTCGTTCGCCGCCGACATGCTTCTCCCTCTCCTTCGCGGCCGGCGCCGGGAAAAAATCGAGTATGTTGGGTTGCATACCGCACAAAACTAAACAGCCGGAAAGAACATCTCTCGACTACAACAGCAAACTCGCTACAAACATAATTGGATTTACAATTTGAATTAAAATTTTCATAAATTTTTGATAAACGCACATATGCATATTTGTTTCGTGTTATTCATAATTCATAATTCATAGTGACGACGCTTTCAAATAAACTTTCAGACGCTTCCAATAGCAAGCTTTATAATTTCAACCCCTTTATTAACCAATCAGGAGTATT